TCAGGCCTATTATATATTCTCAAGTACTGTCTTTGCACTGACAACATCAAACCAACAATACCGGAAAAATTCTCTTTGGGATCTCCAATCCCTTTTTAGCTTTAGTTAACTTCAGAAATGCATTCCATGTTTATCTCTTAAAAAACAAAAACAAGCCCCAGGAGGAAAAAGGCTTCCTCCCCATCTCCCACGTGAAATTGTGCAGTCTTATCCCCACACATTTTTGTAGGAGAATAGAGCTGTTTGAGTGACTGATGGATGGAGAAACTGATTCAGCTCATATCTGCATGAAAAGAGTTCCCAGTGCTCCAAAACTAAGGATTTTACATTTTTTCTGCTCAAAGCTAAAGTTCAGTTTCCACATAAGCCTTATTTAGAGACTGATGCACACGTTGCAGGTCCCTGGAATTGCTGCTGCTCTTCGGAGCTGAATTGTCCCTGTTATGGCCAGTGTCAAATACTACCGAAAAACATCATTGACTCCCAAGGGTGCTGTGTGCCCCACCTGCAGGTGGGTAAGCTAAATATGCGGAAGCCACCCTCAACCTTCCTGCATATCATATTGACAGTCTTTAACTTCTGTCCTGGCAGGTTGTAATGTGAATTATATGTACTTAAAAAAAAATCCTGTTCATGACAGCAGTTTGTAATTCTGATAAACCCGTAAGACACTCTCCAGCTGTTAAGTTAATACAAGAGGAGCTGGCTTAATAATTTCTGTTGTAATTTCAAGGAAGTAACTGGAATAATGCCAGGTATTAATTTTCCCCAACAAGTCACAAGATGAAAGAATTCTCTATAATCTAAAGTAATGTTTAGGTCCTATTACAAACAAATTTGAAAGGACTCATAAACTCCAATAACTAACACAACAATTTCATCATCTCGACGGGTTACACGTGTTTGAAATTGGGGCGGGCAACCAATGTTGATCTTGTACCTCCAGCTGCTCCAATATAAAAGCTCGTCTCTTTCACAGTTCTTCCAAACACTTCCCTTGACTTCTTGGTGACTTGGGTAAGTCTGATTCTTCTCTATTACCATCAATGTATCTTTTTATTGCTGGTTTCAACTTCAGTTGATGGCCACCATCCATACTGTTGGGTGTTTCTGCACTGCCTTGGGAAGAGATTCTAGTGCTGGCTCTGGGGTGACAGATACACCTATTTGGTGTGCAGGGCTCGGCGGAGTTCTCAGTGTCAGGAACACTGGGACATGCATAGCCCTACCCTTACTTCAATGCATTTAACTTATTCCAAAGGTTGCACGTTATGAGGTTCAACGTTTAATAAGAACATCACTACTGCAGCCATTCATGCAACCTGAGCTGAATGAGCGATGCATCTGAGAAAGTTGTGTGTGTTGTCCTGATACAGCAAATCTGGCTGCCCTTTACTTTCTTGCTTTCATATTCTTCCTCAGAAACCTGCTAAGGACTTACAGGACATAGTGGGTGGAGAAGAGTAAAATCACGCTTGGAGAAAATAACTAAGTTTAGAGGGGAGAATATAGGCTGAATTCTTAGGTTTACAAAGGAGTCCTGGTTTGTCCTAGGAATAATAATTTGAAATGAGTTTTTTGAAAGACATTAGGGACTAAAATGCTGGTTTATATTGAAATTGCCCAGGCTGTATCCATACAGTGGCTGCGTAGGTGGGAATTTGGATAATAACACTACCATCTGTCCTTTATTGTCTTGTCAGATGGCTTTCTGAGCAATCTGGGCAGTGACAATCCCATAATCTGTTGTTCCTACAACTCTCAGCAAAATTGGGATGAGTGGGAAGAAGAAGCTACTGTAATTAAGTATATATAAACTACATCTCATGTAAACCTGCTGAATCCAAATCCAAGTTTTCCTACTGACTCATCAAATGACCTTGGACAAAGTCACTTTGCTTTCTCTGTTTTTGCTTCTCAGTTTTCAGTTTAATGTGTAGAAATATATCTAAGTTCTTTGCAGGATATTTGTGAGGGACAACACTTTCAGTGCTAGGCATAATATTTCCCATATGCTTTTGTATGTGTAGACATTTTTTAGAGAATTTTCAAAACTCTGCTTTTTGAAAAAAGAGGATTATGACCGCAAAGTGGGAAGTCAATTTATTTACTCAAAATCCTGTACTTGACTCATTATTTTAATGTAAACTGTTGCATTTTGAAGTCTTTGTCTTCTGCTTAGTCTAATCATCAGTGTGTGTTGCAGCTT